AATTAAAACTTGGGAACCCAATTCACTATGCCAAAAAGGCAAAAAAAAAAGAAAAAAAAGCTGAAAGCTGAGTCATGCAAGAAGCTGCCTTTCCTTTTGCTCCTAAGTAGATCGCTACAGATAAAAGGTTAAATAGCTCCACAGGTAGCTACTCTATGTTCACCTTATCTTACGTAAACTGCTGATTGGCTGAGCATGAGACAAATACATAATTGACTATCCCCTACCTGCTCTTTTTCTTTGTAACATGTGGATTCAGTCATGTGACCATACCCTGCCTTTCTCCCCTCCAGCTTGCTTTTCCATTTTAAACATCAAAGCCCTCAAAATCATCTTTGGAGAAAGGCACAGACTAGAGACTGTTGCTGTAATTTCGTGGTTTTTTTTTTTTTTTTTACTTCCAGGCATGTCCTTAACCTTGGCACAACAAATCTCTTAAATCGATTGAGACCTGTCTCAGATACTTTTTGGTTTACAAGATGGAGGCTGAAATTAAAGAGAAAGATCCTCACTCAATTCACAGAGGAGCAGAGTGGGAAAAGGACTTAGTGAGATTGCCCTGAACACAGGAGAAAACCGAAGCACAAGACAGTGAATGGCCAAGTGCAGGGTCACACAGCCAAGTCCATCCGAGCAGCACAGGATCCAGGTTTCCTGCCCCAGTGCTCTTTTTGTAGCCAGTTCCACCTGTTTTCATACTATCTCGGTTCACCTTCCAGCTACACGCCTGCAGTCAGAAACAGGAAGTCTGAGAGTGTGTGTGGAGCCAAAGAAGGGACAGCAGTGGTGTGGTCAGTTTCATGTCTTGTGATTTATTTTCTCCCTTTCTTTTTGGACTTTAATCTTAAGTGGACAGCAATTTGGAAGAGTACCAGCACCTTGTTGGATTGTGCTGTTTGGGGGTGGGTGACACAGAGTGTTTTAAAAGGCAGAGCAGGTTAAGAACTTTTCATAAAGAATCAATTGAGAAAAAAATAAAATAGAAACAAAATGTCCCACATTTGGGCTGAGCACCAAACAATGTTTTTTTTTTTTTTTTTTTTTTTTTTGAGACTGAGTCTTACTCTGTCACTCAGGCTAGAGTGCAGTGGCACGATCTCAGCTCACTGCAGCCTTCGCCTCGTGGGTTCAAGTGATTCTTCTGCCTCAGCCTCCCAAGTAGCTGGGATTACAGGTATACACCACCACACCAGGCTAATTTTTGTATTTTTAGTAGAGACGGGGTTTCATCATGTTGGCCAGGCTGGTCTTGAACCCCTGACCAAGCGATCCACCTGCTTCAGCCACCCATAGTGTGGGGATTACAGGCATGAGTCATGGCACCTGGCCTCAAACAAACTTTTTAATTGCATTCAGAAGTGCACCAACTAGGCACAGACCTCTGGCATGGGGACAGAGTGGGAGGTTCTTGGTGTCTGGCCTGGTCTTGCAGAAATCAGGGAGTTGCGGGGACCAGGCAGCCGCTGTGCATCAGACAGGAGTTTCAGCAGCAGGCAAAAGACAGCCCGCTAGTGTAGCTGAAATAAGAAGCACTTATTTTTATCCCTGAACAGAAGCTTCCAGCCCTGGTTCATCAGGTCAGGGCACTGAGCTGGCATCCCCATTTATACAGTTTTCCTTTCCTTCACCTTCGTAAGATGCCTGGCACAGCTCTGAGCATCAAATATCTGTGCCGTGTGGGAGCACACGAGGGGACAAGTGGGGAACAGGGTCTCCTCCGTCCTCTGTCCCCAGGCTGGCTTCTCTCGTGGTAGAAGGACCCCCACAGCACCAGGCCTCACAATTACCCTGCTGGTAAACTGCAGGTGCTGTCAAGGCTTCCTGCCTTTGTATACCGCCTTCCTATATGAAACGTTCCTTGGCAGCTGGACGGCTGTTTGCTTACCGCACGCACCGCCCTGCTGCCTCTTGGTTGCACTGGTGAGCTGTTGCTCCATGACAAGCCACACCGACATGTAGCGAGCACTTACTGTCGCCCACATGTCTCAAGTCAGCTGAGCGTTTCTGCCAGTCGGGGCCTGGCTTGGCCCACCTTGGCTGGGCTTGCCCTGGTGTCTAGGGTCAGCTAGACAGTTCGGCAGGGGACCAGCTGCTCTAGAAGAGCCTGGACAGGATGAATTGGTTCTCCTTCCATGTGCATCTTGCATCCCTCCAGCCAAGGATTTGAACCAAGGTCTCATCTGACTCCAAATGCACCAAGAGGATGGAGCCCAGAGTAACACAGAGGAAGAGGTCCCTAGATGGATGCATGGGGAAGGTGAGGCCTGGAGAGCTGATGTGCTTGAGATCACCAGGCTCTTCTGACCCTGGGGGACCTCCTCCTATGATGGCCCTGCTCATCCAGACCCAGCAGGCGATTTCCACAAAAGCCGCTTACGGTGAACACACCTGATAGCAATCACTTAAGCATCCCCTGAGAATGACCCTTGTGGCAGGTGCAGGTGAATGTGGTTTGGAGTTCTGAGCTAATGAATCTGGGAGTGGCCAACCTGGAGATTCATTCTGATTCCTTATCTATGAGGAACATCTGAGCTCCTGTCCGGTCCTGTGCAACACAGACAGTACAGGGGATCAAGGCCCCTTGTTTTGGGTTAGGTAAATGTTGCCAGGTGGAGGCTGTTCGGGGAGGGTGCTAAGTGAAGATGCTATATACGCTGTATGCTTTTTGCAAGTTGTGTGACTCTCCTGCCCAGCCTACCACTGCTAGGTGCTCTCCCCTGCATGTAAGCCCCAGTAAACTCCGCGTCTCCTTCACCAGTCCTGGGTCCCTTCTTCAGCCTCTCAAACCTGCTGCCATTCCCATTGGAGTAGACAGGGGTTCGGCATAACAGCAGTCACCAACTAGGGAAAGGCATGGCATTTGGAGCTCCCTACATGGGCTTGACTCTAACATGGAGGGAAAGAAAATAGACTCTGGGCTGGGCCGGGCGTGGTAGCTCATGCCTGTGATCCCAGCCCTTTGGGAGGCAGAGGCAGGGGGATCACAAGGTCAGGAGATTGAGACCATCCTGGCTAACATTCTCCTGAGGCAGGAGAATGGCGTGAACCTGGGAGGCAGAGCTTGCAGTGAGCCGAGATCGCACCACTTCACTCCAGCCTGGGTGACAGAGCAAGACTCCGTCTCAAAAAAAAAAAAAAAAACCACAACAAAAAAGAGAAAAAAGAAAACAGATTCTGCCCTGCTCAGTAAAGCCCCACTGGGCCTCCCATCCTGGACTGTGGACAAAGCATATTTTTTTCCTATGAGAGCCTCTGCAGGCCAGGGCTGCTCTTTGCACCATCCTACGTTACTATTCAGTCTGCATAGAAGCCTGAAAAACAGGCCTTCTTTTCTCTCATTCACACATATGTGAAGAAGGCACAGCAAGTGAGAAAACGTGACCGAAAGCCATGTGGATACGTGGCTGCGGGGCCAAACCCGACTTCCATGATGTGATCTGGCTACAGTTTGGAGCCCACGTATTTCAATAGTTATCCCCAGGCCTGACACGTCAAAGAGGCTCCAGAAATGTTTGCTGAATGAGTGATGAATCAGCAATTTCTGATTTTCTCCTAAATTCAGAGAATAAGTGGCTTGTCTGCAGTCAACCAGGGCGTCCCTGACAGAGGTACAAGTAAAGCCCAGATCTCTGCATCTGTGGTTCAAGGCCTTTTGTACTACACACCACTGTCTCTTCATCATCATTAAAAACAGGGCTCAAGGGACATGTTTTCTAGCCTCAGTTCCCCATCTACGAAATGGGCCTCACAGAATGGAATGTCTCTGCTTCACTCCAGCATCAACAAGCGGGGAATTCCAATGGCTTCAATTCGACTTCTTTCCATGGGCGTGTTCTAAGCAGCCTCTTTGTTCCAGAAGCTGCCCTCAGCCAGAGTTGGATAAGCAGTCCTCACTCTCCAGCCTCCTTTGGATAGGGATGAAGACCCCACTGGGGTCGGAAGTGCAGAGGCAGACAGGTGTATGGAGTCACCTGTAAATTGATTCAAGTGAGCCAGGAAAGCAGCGAAGAAAAGAGAAACCTGAGTGACGATGTAGTGGAGGAATAGGGTTGGAAAGAGGCTGCTGGCTGTCTGGCTTCGCAGCTCTGGCTTCCTAATCAGCCTCGCTCTTGTCTCTGGTGTTCTCTGGCTCTTGTCCCCCTGTCTGTGTTTCTCGTTGCCAGCTGTTGACTAATCTTTGCTGGAGCTGAGCTAGAATTCTGGTGTTTATAAGCCCGTAACTAGCTAAGCACTAGTTGATAACTTTGGAGTTAGTGGATAACCACAGGGCTGGGCTACTAAGCTTTTTCAGTTGAAAAATAAATAAATAAATAAATAAATAAATAAATAAACAAACAAACACCACACCCAGCACTTTTTGTATTTTTAGTAGAGACGGGGTTTCATGTGTTAGCCAGGATGGACTCGATCTCCTGACCTCGTGATCCACCCACCTCGGCTTCCCAAAGTGCTGGGATTACAGGCGTGAGCCACTGCACCCGGCCACCTTTGTCCTGTTTTCTACAGGTTAGAAGCAAGGCACAAGTCATCCCTACATTCAAGGACTGTGCAAAGGATAAACTGCAGGAGGTGAAGAACTTGAGAGCTATTTTAGAAGCTGCCTTCCACACTTTACAATCTACTTTGCAGCTACACTGAGCTCTTAGCAACTCCCTGGGCCTGCTGAGCACCTCTTGCCTTTCTGCCTTTGCATATGCTGTTCCCTCTGCCTGGAATTCCATCTCTTCTGCCTTTGCCCACCTCCTCCTAAGGCCTCTGCTTAGATGCAATTTCTTTGGGCTCTTATTAGCAGCATCCAAATCTGTGCTGGTTTCTTCTAATGCTTACTCTGCATCGTAATTTTTCTGTTTACTTGTTAATCCCCTCCCACTCCTGCCAGTACCTAAAGTAAAATCTACACAGGGCTTGGCACATTGTGGATGCTCAATGAAGATTTGTTAAATGAGTGAATGATTGAATGAAATAAGCCCCAGCTTGGAACCCAGGGCTGTAATTTCCAGTTCTGGTCCCTGTCCCCTGCCCAGGGGCTGTCTAAGGGTTCATCTCTCGCAGGAGCCCCTGTATCATCTCAGTAACTAGACCAGTACCCAGTACCATATCGACTTCCCCGACTTTGAAATAATTTTCACATGCAATTCTCAGGTGCACTTCCCTAGAACCTCTCTCACTGTTCTTTGCCTTCCTCCTCTCCCTGCCTTGTATCTCCGTGGTCCTGCCAAAAATCGGAAGCTCATTATTAAACCAGGAGCTGCCTTACATTATCCCAGAGACTATAGATGTTAAATATTTGCTTCTATCTCAACTGAGGACTGACATAGTAAAGGCTCCTTGAGATGTTAGCTGTCAAGGAGGGGAATAAAAGTTTTTCATCTGCATGAGTAATTGTTTCCTGTTTTATCCAGAGAGACAACAGATTTACATCCCAGACACATTCACACTGGGCCAAGAGCAGCTGCCATTGCAGATTCCAGTCACGTCCTTTTTTTCCCTCCTTCTCCTTCTTGGAGTTACAACAGAAGCTGGAGAGGTGAGAGTGCTGGTGAGAGAGGAGGGGGGCTCTGGAACACGTAGCCTGTGAGGAGGGAAATCAGGGTGGTGCTTGGGTGGAGGTGGGAGCTGGGCCAGGGTCTTGGCTGGTCAGGAAGGCTAGCGAAGCGCGTACTGGGAAGCAGAGGGCCTGCTTTCCTTCCTCTCTTTCCTTCACACCCACCTCAACCCACTGTCGAGTCCTATCAGCTCTGAAATAGATCCTGCCTCCAGCGCCTTCTCACCTCTCTCTCCCCCATTCCAGTCCATGCCACCTCATCTCTTACTGGGACTTTCACAACAGCCTCCCGAGTGGTCTTGGCTTCTGCTCTCAAATCGTGCAGTGCCTTCTCTGCGGAGCCACAAGACAGATCTTTTTAATCTGCTCTCCTTGATTTCTCACAACCCTTGGAATGAAACCTTGGCCTGCAGCCCTGTGTGACCTGCTGCCTGTCCTTACCTCCTAACCTCATCTAAGATCCCCCTCCCCTCCTCATACCGGCCTTTCTGTTTCTCAGACACTCCAAGCTTGTTCTGCTCTTGGACCTTCACGCTGTCTTTTTGTCTCCTGAGAGTCTGTACCCCCTCTGCCAGATCATGCAGCTGGCTCTCTGCCTAAATACCCTCTTCCGAGGGGTCTTCCTTGGCCCTGTGGTAGGACATGGTACCCTCCTCCATCCCTCCAGCCCATTACAGTGCCATAACACTTTTACTGCCATCTAGATAACATCAGTTGGTTTTGTCCATCATCTGCCACCCCACTAGAAAGGACATGGATGAAGCAGGGAGGCACGTGCCTGTCTCATTCACCTGTGGATCTGCTGCATCCAGGACCATGCCGGCACAAAGTGGGAGCCCAAGGAATATTTATTGAAGAAATGAAAGGTGACAGAAGGCAGAAGGAGGGAGACTCCAAGAAGAGGTAAATTTGGTATCTTAGCAAGTGGGTGACTACCACCGTCTGGGGGAAAGCTGATGTACGGGGACTTGACAATAATGACAGCAGTAAAAATCGCTACTATTTTGTTTTGAGATGAATTTTAGTTTCTGAAATTGTCCAAAGCACTTTTATCAATAGAAACTTGTTACACCTCCCTCCAACAGGGAGAATCAGCACAGGAAGCTGCCCCCTCAAACACTAAAGGCTCCTGGAGTTATTCACAGTGCTGGGGAACAACCAGAGGAGGAGGAGGACAGAGGGAGAGAACATTTTTTTAAAAATCCCAAACAAAACTAAATTCTGTACATGTATATCTCGAGTGAGTAAATGTGTAACATTCAGCAAACTCCTACACTTGCCAGGTTTTATGGCTTCATGGAGTCATATAAAATGTGCTTCACAAAGCTAGGAGTCTGCACAGAATATAGGGTTCTGATTCATATTTTATTTATTTATTTATTTATTTTTGTAGAGATGGGATCCCACTATATCGCACAGGCTGGTCTCAAACTCCTGAGCTCAAGCGATCCTTCTGCCTTGGCCTCCCAAGGTGCTGAGACTGTGGGTGTGAGCAACCGCTAGCTGAGCAATTTCTTGCATTTCTAGACCTTGAGCATCAGGTAGCTTAGGGAGGGTGAAAACTCAGAAGAAAGCTCAGAATTGAGATCTTTGATTTTTGCCCAGAGAGTCCAGCTAACACACTTTATAACCCAGAAGGCCTTACAAATATTTCAGAGCAGAGGCAGCATTTTTGCACTGGATAAACAAAGGTACGGTAATTTCTTCATAGTTTATTTTCATTACAAGTAATTCTTTTCCTGAAGAAAAATGTATATTTCTGATTTATTTCCCCTCTGAAAGGGGAGGGGAGTTATAATATTCTGTTTTCATAGCACCATTTCTCAAGATCAAACCCAGGCAGGCATTTTTACAGCACACATTTCCTGTTTACTTGTTTACTTGTTGCTAATCCTCACAACCTTGAGGAAACCGAGGAGCGAAGGGGTTGAGGAATGTGTTCACCATCCCAAAGCCAACGAAGTGCCAGAACCCAAATCCAAGCCAGGCTGTCTCATCCCCAAGGACATACTCTTTATCCTGTTCTTTATGACTTTTCTTGCAGCAGGCATGAGGGAGCAAGAATTTGGCTCTTCTGACATTTCTCAGGCACCTGGTATGTGCCAGGCCTACTGTAAACCCCACGATGACATGGTCCGTGTCTATCCGTTGAGCATCAGAGAGACTGTTATCAGGACTCGAGGCCTGAGGCACAGCTCTGAATCAGATGCAGGCCTCTGGTGTTTGTAAAGGATGAGTGAGTGTGTGTACATATATGCATGCACTGTGTGTAGGGGTGTGTGTATGTTGGAGGTTGGGGGCAGAAAATTCTCCCTGAACTGTTGGTATTAAGGCAAATCTTTGATGGAGTGACTAGAGTGTGGGGACTCGAACCCTAGTTTCGAAGTGGGGACTTCGAACACTAGTATGGCCAGCAGACAGGCTGGAGTTGCTGAATTCTAGGCTAGGTCTTTAATCCACTCCTCTTCTCTAAATCAGGGTAGAATTGGACTCAGGGCTGGTTCAGGGCTGAGGATGCAGGGAGATGAATGGTTCTAGACACTGGGAAGGAGAAGGGATGGATGATGAACCTGGCAGCTCACAGGATCATGGATTTGGCTGTATGTTGGACGTCTGCGTAAGATCTGAGTTGAGACCTTTGATTTTTGCCCAGAGAGTCCAGCTAACACACTTTATAACCCAGTGAGACCAGCCAATGGCTGTTCATTGCTTCTGCCTTGCCCCTATGCCTGTCCGCCTCCCATAGCAGGTCCCTATAGCATAAGGAAAATGGGAACAACCTTTTCCCTGGACACTAGGGAATCTAGTTTGGTGGATAAAGATGGATGGTTGTTAAACGATCCCATCTTGGGCTCTGTGTGTTCAGTGAAGCCTCATTTACCAGATCTCTCTGATGAGAAAGGTGAATGGTGGGGACAAAATACATGCTGTTACCAGAAGTCTGGCGGGGGCCATGTGCAGTGGCATGCACCTGTAGTCACAGCCACTCGGGAGGCAGAGGTGGGAGGATCGCTTGAGCCCAGGAGGTCGAGGCTTCAGTGAGCTATGATGGCACCATTGTACTCCAGCCTGGCTGACAGAGTGAGACCCTGTCTAAAAAAGGAAAAGAAGTTTAGGGGGAAAGCTTTTAGGAGATGGATGATGGTTAATTTTAATTCCACCTAACATTTTAAACTTTGCTATGTCAAAAGGTGAGAATTGCCAGTGACAAGGCACGGACACCAGAGGAAAACCAGAGGGTTGAGAAGGTGGGAAGGGCTGCGGTGTGGCAGGCAGCAGAGTTACTGGGATGACTTCTGCTAAAGGAACTGATCACCCACCACCTTCAGGAAGGAGGCGCCTGGGGCCCTTTAAGAGAGCAATTTCGGCCGGGCACAGTGGCTCAAGTCTGTAATCCCAGCACTTTGGGAGGCCGAGACGGGTGGATCACGAGGTCAGGAGATCGAGACCATCCTGGCTAACATGGTGAAACCCCATCTCTACTAAAAAATACAAAAAACTAGCCATCTCTACTAAAAAAAAAAAAACGAGGTGGCGGGCGCCTGTAGTCCCAGCTACTCAGGAGGCTGAGGCAGGAGAGTGGCGTAAACCCAGGAGGCGGAGCTTGCAGTGAGCTGAGATCCAGCCACTGCCCTCCAGCCTGGGCGACAGAGCGAGACTCTGTCTTAAAAAAAAAAAAAAAAAAAAAAAGAGAGCAATTTCAGTGGAGGCTGGGGGCAGGTTGGCAGAAACAAGATTATGAGATGGTCTGTATCAGGAATCAGTCTTGAGGGTTAGCGCCTCTAGACTTTTCTGAGAAGTCTGGCTTAGAAGGGAAGGCTGGAGAGCTAGCACAATACTCAGTAATCACAATACCTAAGGCAGTTAGAATGTGCCAGGCACTGTTCTAAGAACTCAGCACATTTCAGCTCATTTAATAAATTCCTTACAACTATATGAAGTATGTAATCTTTTCATTATACCTTTTGACAGGTGAGTTACTTGCTGGAATTCACATGGCTAGTAAATACCAGAGCTGAGATTTGAACCCAGGCAATCTGGCTCCAGAATCTGTGTTTTTAACCCACATACTATATTGATCATCATGAAAAGATGGTAGTGGGCAGGCTTGTTTCTAAGGATGGGAGGGTCCTCATAATATCTGTATTTACAGAGAGTAGGGAGAGGTGGGTTACTTCCTCTCCCAACCCCAGAAAGCCAGGCATGTTGGCTGGCATCCCTGGGACCTCAGATATTCAAGCAACCATGGCCTTGCAAATCAGGCGTTCTATTTATTAGAGTTGTGTAGTGAGGTCCCCTCCATTTCGTCCCCAGAATATCTCCTAGACAAGTTGGGTCCTACAGGGCCTGAGTATAAATAAGATGGTACCCTCTGTTATTATGGAGTAGCTTGGAGCTGGGCCCCAGATGCTCTGTGTGGATTAGATGAGTCATTAGTATTTGGCAATGTAACTTGAGAGGCTTGCTGAGTTACTGGGGCATATGTCCCCAGCTCATGAGTACCACCCTGACTTCTGTCAATCAGTGAACAGGGTTTGCAGTGTCCACCAGGTACCTGTGGTGTAGTAGAAGAGAGTTTGAACTTTGGAATCAAACATGCTGAAGTTCAGATTCCAGCTCCTCCACTAGCTACCTCTGTGATCTTGGCTAAGTGATGGTCACTTTTTTTTTTTTTTTTTTTTTTGAGACAAGGTCTCATTCTGTCTCTTAGGATGGAGTGCAGTGGCATGATCATGGCTCAGTGCAGTCTCAACCTCCCGAACTTTATCATCCCTCTTCAGCCTCCTGAGTAGCTGCGACTGTGGGGCGCGCGCCATGATATCCAGCTAATTTTTTACCTTTTGTAGAGATAGGATTTCGCCATGTTGCCCAGGCTAGTCTCAAACTCCTGGGCTCAAGTGATCCACCCACCTCATCCTCCCAAAGTGCTGGGATTACAGGTGTGAGCCACCGTGCCCATCCTGATGGTTGCTTTCAGAGCCTTGGTTCTTCATCTCTAAAACAAAGATAGGAACACTGCCCAGTTTCCATGGAGAGCTCATAACACATGCGGGCCTCTCTCCCCTCACCCTTCAGTTAGATACTTAATATTTGCAAAGACCCAATTTCTTCATCATAAGAAGACTGCCACCATGCTTGAGGGAGTGACCCATTTACAAACAATTGCTTCCTTCTGGGTCATTCTGATGGATTAAATGAAGAACCATTTAAAACCACAGCCCAAAGAGCCAGAGGGAGAGGCAGCAGAGGGAAGATGCAGGTGGATCTTCATGCACTGCATGAGGAAGCTTTGTACCACGGTCAGGAAAAGCTCCAGGCACACAAGGGCAGCCTCCATGGCCAATCAGAGCGCACCTCTCACCTGGGCAACTCTGCTAACCTAAATAGACCAGTCACACAGCAGACCTGCAAAAGAAGACATGATAATTACAGAGACCCCGGGGGACCGTCTGTGCGGACTGATGCTTTGTTTCTCCTGACCCCTCAGACCTCTCTATTTCACTGCAAACTCTCAATACCCAGGGCCTTTGTTTTGCTGTGAACACTTTCATTCCTGAGTACATTTTCTATGAGGAGTTGGCAGGAAGGGAGTCAGAATGAATTATATTTTCAGCACACCTCTGGGTTCATGTTGACCCAGGAAACCATTTGACTAAAGGATATTTCAATCCAACAAATACTCTCTGGGCCCTTCCAATGTTTCTGGCACTGGTTTGATGCTGAGGACATAGAGATGAATAAGAAATGGTTTCTGTCCCCCAACTGATTATCAATTATCAGTTATCATTGATGATCTGCCATGTGCCAGGGAATTTATAAATATTATTACCATTTCTTACAACAACATAGTAAGGTAGATAGCATCTTTGTGTTACAGGTGAGGAGTAGGAAGTTCAAAAAGGTTAAGTTATAAGGTCAAAGTCACACAACTAGTGAGGGGTAAAACTAACCTTTGGATTTGGGGCTGTTCACCATCAAACCCTATATGCTTTTGATACAGACAGGAGACCCGGAAATACTGGGTAGAAGAGGGCGGTTCCCTGGCAAAGGCCTTACCCTCAAACCTGGAAACCTGCGGCCCAAAATGGGAAGAGGCATTCCAGTTTTCATGCCCAAAAGTTGCCTTTTGGCCCACCATGTCCCCTATCCTATACCTGTATAAACCCCAGACCCCAGGCTCCAGAAGCAGATGAGGAGACAAACAGAAGAGCAGAAGAATGGCAGAATGGCACAGTAGAGAGAAGAAAAGGAACATCTGAATGTTGAGAGGAATTTGGCTGGGGGCAGTGGGAGAGGAGATTAGCCACTAGACAGCCAAACTCCAGGGGAAGATCATCTTCCCACTCCATCCCCCTTCCAGCTCCCCATCCACCCTGCTGAGAGCCACCTCCACCACTCAATGAACCGCCTGCATTCATCCTTAAAGTTTATGTGTGACCTGATTCTTCCTGGACACGGACAAAGACCTAGGTACCAAGAGGGTCCACTGAACTGTCTAACACTTAAGTCATCCATGGACAGCAAGGCTAACAGAATGCTGTAACATGTGCCCACTTGGACTCTGGGAGTCACAGACACCCACCCATAGATGCTACCATGGGGCTGGAGCCCAAAAAGTGCTCACCCTGGCTCCTGCACCTGCCCATCTGCGTGCTCCCCCTCTGGTAAGGGGTTTGAGGATGTGAGGGCTGAACATAAGAGCTATGCCCCTGTCACACGTCATGGGACAGGGGTCAGGGAACTCTCCCATTTCACTTTCAAATATTCCAGGTCCCCTTTTCATTTGGGAGCCAGAGTCCAGTGGAGACAGAGATAGAAAGCCTGAAATAGGATCCAGGCAATATAAACCTACATGCTGTAAGCCAAGTCAGAGGGAGGCTGATGTGATAACGGAAGTCTGAAGAAAAGGTGGGAGACAATTATTCTGACTGAAAGGGAGGCAAGAGTTCCTGCCATAGGCTTGATGCTATATGCCCCTGGCTTCCTAACTCATTTGCAAATGGAAAATACTATTGCATTGTAGGAACCGTCTTTCTCCATTTATATGGGGAAGGAGAAAGAATGGCTGGGCTGAATGAATTTATCCCTTGGTCTTCTTCCAACAAAGCTCAGCTATGAAGCATAAATCCAGCTCTCCCCACCCCCTCTCAGTGGAGCTGGGGAGAAATCAAAAGCCCCTCTGGCAATAATGAGACCACAGTTTGCAAGGGCAGGACGAGCCCGTGCTAACGGACAAAGTGTTGTTTCCTCAATTTGGTTTTAGACTGTCTTGTCCTATGGGGGAGAAAAGGTCTGCCCTTGGGAGAGGTGCCAACTTTATAGATCTATTAATAAAAGAACTGGCAGGTTTATTGTTCTTGCCAGTGAGGAAACTTGAATGAGAGAAGCCACGCTCAACCTTGGCCAACAGGCTGGAGCCCATCACCCTAATTTCACCCCGCTTCTCCTTACCCAAGCATCCAAGGCTAGGCAGCACCCACCCAGCAGCTTCCACCTGGCCGAAGCCTGCACCTGCTCCAGACCAAGGTTAGGTGGAAACTTGGCATGGGAAGAGAGGGCTCACCTGTGGGCAGGATAGAATCTATCCAAGAAGGAGACCTGAAAAACTAAAGCCTATGAGACAAGGGGTGATCCTGAAGGCAGGCAGGAGAAAGGGCCGGAGGGAGGGGCCACTGGGGAATTCTTCCTGGTGAATACTGAAGTTACTAGATGTTTTGTCTTGCAAAACTCAAAGGAAAACTCTCAAACTCTAACATTTGTCTATTCTGTGTCCAAATTGTTCTTTTGAAACGGACCCAACTTTCAGTAAAGAAACTTGCGCTGGCCTCCCCAGCCTGGTGTGCTAGTTCTGTGGAAACTGACCGGCCAGGGTGGCCACAGGAGGAAGAGCCTGGTTCTCCCTCACCAGCTCCTGTGAAGAAGGGACCTGGTCAATAAGGCAAATGACGTCACTTGCCAACATTTGATATTGCCAAGTGCTTTTGTTTGGCACTACTGTAGATTTTAAAAATGTATCTCACTTTTAAAATTTGCATTTTCTTGATTACTTGTGAGACTGAGTGTCTTCTCATACAGCAACTGGTCGTTTTCATCTCCTTTTCTGCGAATTCTAGCTGTTCCCTATTTTTCCAATGGGTTATTCCCTTTACTTACTGATCTGTAAGAGTTCATTACATATACTGGAAACTAATACTTTGCTATATATTGTTACTATCTTCTCTTACTCTGGTCACTTTTGAAAATTCATGTATTGTCATAAGAAGTCATACTTTTCGGTGGCTCATGCCTGTAATCCCAGCACTTTGGGAGGCCAAGGCAGGCGGATCACCTGAGGTCAGGAGTTTGAGACCAACCTGACCAACACGGAGAAACCCTGTCTCTACTAAAAATACATTAGCCGGGTTTGGTGGCACACGCCTGTATTCCCAGCTACTCGGGAGGCTGAGACAGGAGAATTGCTTGAACCTGGGAGGCGGAGGTTGTGGTGAACCGAGATCGTGTCATTGCACTCCAGCCTGGGCAATAAGAACGAAACTCCATCTCAAAAAAAAAAAAAAAAAAAAAAAGTCATACTTTTGCTTTGTGCATCATCTTTAAGAAGGTCATCCCTATCGAAGGTCATAAACATGTTCTTAATATTTTCATATGTTTATTTTCCAAGGTTAGATCTTAGAAAATTACAAAATAACCATTTGTAATTTCATGCTGTGAAAGGTGGAGGAAGGGAATTTCCTCTCTTGCCCCCAAACCTAAAACGCTTACTTGCCTCTGAGCTGATTCTCCTTGTTCCTTTCAGTTACACTGGAAGAAGAGTCTCCCCTTCCTTCAAGCCAAGCCATCCCCTTGGGCTCTCACCACTGTGCTTGCCTTCAGTTTACACCTTGCCATTCTCTCCTGCTTCAATTCCATCAGCACAAAGACATAATTTAATTCCTTCTACCTTTAAAGAAAAAAAAAAAGCTCTCCCTCTCTTAGGGTAAGATGAAGTGGTTTGCAACAGGCCAATGCTACTTTTAGAGGCGTTTGAACCAGAGTGACTCCATTTTGAATAAGGGCTGAGTAAAATAAGACTGAGACCTTACTGGACTGCGTTCCCATGAGCTTAGGCATTCTAAGTCACAGGATGAGATAGGAGGTCAGCACAAGATACAGGTCACAAAGACCTTGCTGATAAAACAGGTTGTGATAAAAAAAAAAAAAAAGCCAGTCAAAACCCACCAAAAGCAAGATGGTGACAAAAGTGATCTCTGGTCGTCCTCACTGCTGATTATTCACTAATTATAATATATTAGCATGATAAAAGACACTCCCACCAGCACCATGACAGTTTACAATGACATGGACACATCAGGAAGTTACCCTATATGTCTAAAGGGGAGAAGCCCTGCGGTCCAATTGTCCACCCCTTTCCTGGAAAACTCAAGAATAATCCACCCCTTGTTTAGCATATAGTCAAGAAATAACCATGAAAATAGCCAACCAGCAGCCCTCAGGGCTGCTCTGCCTATGGAGTAGCCATTCTGTATTTACTTTCTTAATAAACTTGCTTTCACTTTACCCTATGGACTTGCCCCAAATTCTTGCATGAGGTCCAAGAACCTTCTCTTGAGGTCTGGATCGGGACCCCTTTCTGGTAACACTACAGCCACATTATGGAAAATCTAGATAAAAATAAAGATTGTATTTTCCAAACCGTCGGGGAGCTATGGAAGCAACAAGGGCTAGAGGAAGTAAAGTTCTGGAGAAGGGAGGACAGCTCAGAGGTGAGCATCTGCAGATGCCTTTCCCTTGCTGTCAGTTGATAATTCGGGGCACAGGCTAAAGACTGAAATTCGTGCCGAGTCTAGTTGGGGGCTGCTATGGAGTAATCAAATTAAAGGCCTGAGGGGCCTCAAGCATCCAGCCAGCTTCCTCCTTGAGACGTGCTGAACTGTGAAGCTGTGTGATGTGAGAGGCTAACAGGCTAAGTTGAAGACCTCAGGAAAGTAGAGTGGAATTTCCTGTGGTCTTTTTTTTTTTTTTTTTTTTTTTTTTGAGGCAGGGTCTCTTTCTGTCACCCAGGCAGGAATGCAGTGGCACAATCACAGCTCACTGCAGCCTGGACCTCTCAGGCTCCAGTGATCCTCCCACCTCAGCCCCCAAGTAGCTGGGACCACAGGCATGTGCCACCACACCCGGGTACTTTTTGTATTTTTTGTAGAGTGGGTCTGACCATGTTGCCCAGGCTCCCTGTGGTCTCCTGAGAAGACAAAGGCTCACCAGGGGCTGGAGTTCCTGAGAACAACTTGGGGGGAGCAGAAAACGCTGGAGAGCAGGTGAACTGACCCCTGCTGTCAGGCATCTGCAGCTGCTTTTTCCTGAGAACATTAGCCATGAGTCTTTGTGCAGCTGGACAAATGTGGAGACTTGAGGGAATCTCAGACGTGTGGCCAGTACCCTCTAACCACAGGCTTTTTACAATTTGAAGCAGTTCAGGGCAGGATGCTGAAGAGCAAAGCCAAACCCCCCCCCAAAAGCAAAATAATTTCCTGCAGTCTCTTAGTGTCATGAACAAATGTGAACCCGAAAGAGCCAATCTTTCAAGAAAGATCCTTAGTGGCTAATGGGGCCTAAATGTAAAATAGAGCCAAGCAGCCATCTGCTAACTAGAAATCACGTAGGTACTCTGAGTTCCCAGAAATCCAACACCTCTGTTCGACTTGAGGACTTTCAGAGCACACCTAAACCAACCAGTCAGAGCCCACCTGCCTTGACCAATCAAGGCTCAGCTGTACCAACTAATTGGAACTACCTGAGTCTGAAGCTCTCCGTTGCATAAATGGACCTGATTGGGAACCTGGGTGGAAACTTTTGCTACAGAACCCCAACCCTCCCTTTGTTCTCTGGAACACATCATGTTTTACACTGAAGGCTGCATCTCCCTGGTGTGCAAACTATTCACTGGAATATAAAGTCTCTTTCCTCCAATTTCCTTTCCAGAGAACTTTTGTTCACAGTGCTGAGACAAAGACCTACCAGCCTCTTGATTGAAGGTCATACTCTAAGAACAGGGCAAACTAGAGGTAGATGGGCTATTTTTTTTTTTTTTTTTTTTAAATAGAGTCTCACTCTGTCACCCAGGCTGAAGTGCAGTGGCTCGATCTTGACTCACTGCAGCCTTGACCTCCGGGGTTCAAGTGATCCTCCCACCTCAGCCTCCCAAGTAGCTGGGGCTACAGGCATGCACCCCCATACCCAGCTACTTTTTGTATTTTTTTTTTTTTTGTAGAGATGGGGGTCTCACTGTTGCCTAGGCTGGTCTCAAACTCCTGAGCTCAAGCGATCCACCCACCTTGGCCTCGCAAAGTGCTGGGATTACAAAGTGAGCCACTATGCCTGGCCACATAGACTGATTCTTTTCCAAACTGCAACTTAACCTTGGCTCAGTTCAGTCCCTATTGGGATTAAACTGTTTAATACTTCACTGTATCTGCCTAGCAGAGAATAGGGTTAACCGTACTTGGGAGGAAAACACTACAGCCTTTCCAGTGCTTTTATACAAAATATTTGGCATTCCTTTAAATATTACTCAAGAGAAAAGACCATTTAACTAAAAACCAAGAGAAAAAGCAGACAATAGAAGGAGGCCCACCAGTAAACCAGAGTTATTAGACAAGAACTTTAACTATGATTATGTCCAAAGAAATAGAATGATGGACAAAATGATTAAAAGTATAGAGATTATCAGATAAAGTTTTAATCTTTCAAAAAAAGCATCAAGTGGGCATCCTGGAACTAATAAACATAATATTTGCAGCAAAGAAATCAATTGAGAGCAGATTGGATATAGCAGATGTCAGCAGTCGTGAACTGGAAGATAAACCAATAGAAAACATCAAAATTGAAGCTCAGAGAGGGAAAAAAGGGGAAACAAAACAGGACAGAGCATAGAGAGCATGGTACACAGTTTAAAGGGTCTGACAATGTGTAGTTGGAGTCACTGAAAGAGGGAAAGAGGAAAAGAAAGGATGAGACAGGAATAGTTGAAGATACAATGGCTAAGACATTTCCTCAAAGAATGGATAAACTGTTAGAGTTAAGTCAATTTATCTAGGTCTTGGATATAGTGTCAATGTACACAAACCAGTTGCATTTTTTTATAACGGCAACAAACATAATACAGAATTTAAAATGATGTTTAAAATGGCATCAATCAAATACTTAAGAGTTAATTTAATAAAATCAGAGAGAACAATTAAAGGCAACCCAAAATATGGAAGGATACACTATGCAATCGCTTCGGATTGTAAGGCTTAATATGGTGGAGGTGTTAATTCTCTTCAAATAGACCTATAGATTCAACACAATCCCCATCAATCTTAGCAGGCTTTTGGAGGTGGGAAGGATTAACAAGCTGATTTTAAAATGCATATGCGTATGTAAAGGGAAGCGAATAGCTGTATTAGGGTTCTCCAGAGAAACAGAATCTTACTATAAGATATAAAGACCTATTTTAAAGCTATAGTAATTAGCAATGTGGTATCAACACAAGGAGAGACAAACAGACTAGTGGAATAGAAAAGTGTCCAGAAACAGACTCAGACATGAATATTCCCAGATTTGTGACAGAAGTGATGATACGGTACAGTAGGAGAACGGGTAGTCTTTTAAATAAATGGCATTAAGTTAATTGGATATCAACATGGACAAATGAATCTAAATAAAACCTTTAGAAGAAAATAGTATACATTTTCACCTTGAAATGAGCAAAACTTTCCTAAACCCCCATTCTTCAGTTCCATGGTTGGGTTGAGTTTCTTTTACTACTTTGCAAGTCAAGTTTGCTCTGGACGTTCTTGTTTTTGTTATTATCTGCACAGCCTCCATCCAGTCTTTTCTCTAGTAGTCACGATCTACTTGATTATTAAGCCACTCTTTCGTTTTATCATTAGTTCAAACATTAAGTGCATACTTATGTCACTCCTTGTCTCAAACATTCATTGCTCCTCATTCAAAACCAGCTGCTGGCACTGGCGTGTTTGATCCTTACAATGGAGCATCAGCACCACCCCTGCCCCCACCACCCCACCACCACCACATTCTTATTCTTTATCATATGAGCCTGGATAATCCTCATTATTCCTAATCTCCAGACACACCCTGAATTACCTCTCGTCCAGGTCTACTCATGCTGCTTCCTTGGTGGGATAACTTTGCCAGTTCCATCTATACCACGCTCTGTCTAGACTGTCTGCCTTTGGCATCTTGTCTGCCCTGCCATTTTGGCCCAGTACCGAGGAGGAGCTGAACAGAACTGTGCAGAGGTATCAGTGACTCTTACCCAGCCTTCTAATCCCTGCACAGTGCCTCCTTGTTTGTGGTCCCGAATCCTTCCAGCAAGCGGGTCCCCAGGGGCTTGGGGCTTGTGAAGGGTTCCCTCTGCTGGAAGAGGAGAGCATTGCGCCCAGGCATGAGTGCACTGTCAGTACCAGGCAATCCTGGGATAAATTCTGGAGAGATCAAAGTGCTTCTCAAAGACTTTGGTGGCACCTACCCCCAAGAGTGAATCCTTCAGGTCACAGGTACCAGAGACAACTTGGCCAGAAGACATAGCCTTATCTCAGACATGACATGGACAAAGGCCAGCTGAAGGACCAGGGACCAAACTGTTCTCACCTGCAGCTCTGAGGTTTTTTTCAGAGCAGGTCCAAGGGTTGAGGAGTGGGAGACCTGGCCAAGGAGGGTGATCGGTGAAGCAATCAATTTTCCACCTCGAGGCTAACTGGTAGTTATTTCTTTCTGCCTATGGAGACCTCTACTTGCTTTCTGACCACCCACTCATGGGAAGGTGTTCTCCATCTGCACCTTCAGAGCCCACCACCATTTCTTCAGTAGCCACTGTGGATCTCCCTACTCCAGGTTCTGCCTCTTCCATGTAATGAGCCAAACTTGGCCAAGGCAGACAACAAGCAGCATGCATGTTAGAATCAGGAACAGCTGGGTCCATATGCTTCCTCCGCTACCCACTTCGTTCAGGTTACTAAGCCCCTCAAGCCTCTGATACTTCATCTATGAAATGTGGGTGACAGTCTCTAGTTTATGGAGTTGTTGGGAGATGTCAGTGAGATACCCTATGAAAAATGCCTGACATGGCATAGGGGCTCCCCACATATTAAGCAACCTTTACCTCCAACCCCACTGACAGCCACACACCTGCCCATCAGGGAATGCAGTTGAGAATATCAATATATATATTTGCAATAGAAAGTGATAGAGATAAATAGTAATTGCATTGGGGTTACAAGGGTAGGACTGATGGATTCTGCTTGGGAGAGGGAACTCATCTGAGAACATAACTATTGACCAGGGTATTTCAAGTGTTAACTATGTGTCAGGCTTTAACACTTTACATATAGCCTCATCGGATCCTCAGAGGAGTCCCATAGGGTAGGTACTTACAGCAAACAGGCTACGGGGGGCCCAGGAGACCAGGTGTCCCCATGATCCCTGCCTCCTAGTATAACCTTGAGTAAGGGTAGGACCTACCCCTGACCAATAGAATGCGGCAAAGGTGACATACGTATGTGATTCCACATATAACGTGATTCCACATCACATTATATGAGACTGTGATGTCCCTTGTCTTCCTGGCCTACTCCAGTCCCACCCCAAGTGTTGGTTTCTTGGAAAAACACTGGGGAAGGAGGTGGAATTGCTGTGAAAACAAGGCTCAGACCTCCACAGAAGCTGCCCAGTGAGTTCTTCAAAAGTGGTTATCCTACCTGCCACTTACACTGGATCAGGACTGTCCAGAAATCATTTTCACATCTCCCCAGCAGAATGGCGTCATCTCAATACTAATTTTCACTTGAACTAGAAGAATCATGCGTGTGGATTTCAAAAGGAAAAGGTTCCTATTCATGGTGCATTTAGGAGCAGCCCAGGGTGCTTATAGAACGGACCTTGCTATGTTCTTGAGCTTCTGTGGCCTCTTGACAAAGTCGAGCAAATAAGACGACCAGGCCAAGTGGGCACTCTGGGTCCCGTGGCCAAGGATGGGCTGGCCAGGTGGCTATGTGGCCTCCCGTGGCCTTGTTTCTGTCGGCTTCATCTGATCCTGATCTCAGATGCTGATAGGGCTCTGGCTTATTTTCTAAGGAGAGGGAGCTTGTTTTGTGCAGGATGCGCCTTCACCAGATACCTCCAGGGGCAAGAGTCCACAGAGGTTACACGCCCCCGCCTCCCATGCCTCTAAGCTCTAAGCTCAAAGAAGGGTCCCTGACACGGAGTCCTGCTACAGGAATGGCCACAGGGTGGGAGAGACCAGGGTCGTGCATGCCAGCTCAGGATCTGGGGCAGGATGGTTGGCAGAGGGTCGCGAGGAGCAAAGGAGGGGAATCACCTGCCAGAAAATTGGGCAGGGGGAGCTCAGAGAGGAGGCTGAGGAGGGACTGGGACCAGTGGAAGGGAGGTGGAATAGGTCTTAGGAGCCAAATTCCTTGCAGATACCTGGGGTGAAACCTGGGCAGCTCTATGCCTGGGAGCTGCCCTTTTGCCCCCAGCAGCTCCCGGTCCAGCCCCCGCCCCTCCAGGAGACCCAGGCCGGGTTCCTAACCCCCCTGCTCTTTGGCTTCGTCCCTGCCTAGCCCCTGCTGCAGGTGGCTTTTATTTCCCTCCTCCTCCCTCTCCTCTCCCTCCTCTGCTTCTGCTACCTCCCCTTCCTCTGCTACCCACTTCGTTCAGGTTACTAAGCCACTCAAGCCTCTGATACTTTGTCTGTGAAATGTAGGTGACAGTCTCTAGTTTATGGAGTTGTTAGGAGATGTCAGTGAGATACCCTATGAAAAATGCCTGACATGGCATAGGGCTCCCCACATATTAAGCAACATTTATTCCCCCTCCCCGCTCCTCCCCGCTTCCCCGACTGGCCCCGCCCCACTGCCGGCCCCGCCCCCACTTCCGGCCCCGGCCCCACCCACGCGGGAGCTGCTCCATTTAAGGAGATTGCGCACCTTGAAAGGTCCACACATGTGAGCCTCGAGGCGAGCCCCCGGGTGCAGACTTGCCATGGCCTCCGAAACTTCTGTGCGTCTAGGGACGCCCCCTGACCGTCTGTGGATCCAGAAGCCTGGCATCTACGAAGACGAGGAAGGGAGGACCTGGGTGACTGTGGTCGTGCGGTTCAGTCCCTCGCACAGGGAATGGGCCAGGGCCTCAAACACCCAGGGCAGCGCCTCCCAGGGCAGCACAGTGAGTCCTGAGCACGGGGGGAGGCTGTGGGAGGGCTGCGCACTGACCCTTGCCCGTGTGGGACCGCGGTGGGGGTTAGAGGGGGCCGTTCTTACCCGCGCTGGAAAACTCTTCTGTGCAGGTCTAGGAGCGCAACAATGCCCTGGCCCCAGGAACACCCCCGTGAAGGGACCACAGGCACAAACTTATCCACATGAGGTAATACGGTCCTGCCTGGTGAAGCCGAGGCTAAGGCAGCTCAGGACTTAGTGCCATTCCCAGTGCATGCTGGGAAGGTTCACAAATGGGGCAGCTATTGAGCTGGGCTTTGTGGGATGAGTAGGAGTTCTCCAGGTCTAGAAAGGAGGCGGGAGTAGTATAAGCAAAAGCATTGCAACCTGGAGGCACCAGGTGGGCCAATAGGATGAATGTGAGATTGGTTTCAGATTACTAATCTGCAAAATGAGAATAATATACCTCTGTGGCAAGTGAGTCACAGACATGCTCATGTACGTGGCTCACCGCCTGACTGGCCTGGGGAAGCATTTGACTGATAACAGATTCTGGAAATTAATTCAGGAGGCTTGGGTGGAGTCCTAGATTCTTTACTGTTCAAAAGCTCCCCAGGTGATAATGATAATGACTCAGGAAACGGCCGTAGATGAGGGCTTTAGATCACAGCCGGTCTTTGAGGGATAAAGTAAATACAGTAGAGTCTCTGGTGAGGGCGGAAATTGATTCCAGGACCGACTGTGGATGCTCAAGTCCCTGATAGAAAATTACATGGGTAGTAATTACATACAACCTCAGCACAATCCTCTCCTATATTTGAAATTAGATTACTAATAACACCTAATGCTACACCTACACATCACTTTAAGCTCTGCCTCTTGGAACTTTGTGGAAATTTTTTTTCCCCCAAATATTTTTAATCTGAGGTTGGTTGAATTCATGGGTGCAGTATCCACGGAAATGGGGAGCTGGCTGTACCTTAGTGTAATATGGTGAAAGTTTATCCGGATATTTAAAATGCCATTGAAGGCCAGGCGCGGTGGCTCACGCCTGTAATCCCACCACTTTGGGAGGCCGAGGCTGGCAGATCATGAGGTCAGGAGATCAAGACCATCCTGGCTAACATGGTGAAAACCCGTCTCTACTAAAAATACAAAAAAATTAGCCAGGCATGGTGGCGGGCGCCTGTAGTCCCAGCTACTTAGGAGGCTGAGGCAGGAGAATGGCGTGAATCCAGGAGGCAGAGCTTGCAGTGAGCTGAGATAGCGCCACTGCACTCCAGCCTGGGTGACAGAGCGAGATTCTGTCTCAAAACAAAAACAAAAACAAAAACAAAAAAACCCAAACATTTAGGTCATTGTAAACAATTCACTGCCTGTTTGTTTTTTGCGAGAGTCTTGCTCTGTTGCGGCTGGAGTGCAGTGGTGTGATCTCGGCTCACTGCAACCTCCACCTCCCAGGCTCAAGTGATTCTCATGCCTCAGCCTCCTGAGTAGCTGGGATTACAGGCTATTTTTTTTACAGCTATTTTTTTTTGTTATTTTTAGAAGAGACTAGGTTTAATCATGTGAGCCAGGCTAGTTTTGAACTCCTGACCTCAAGTGATCTGCCCACCTTGGCTCCCAAACTGCTGGGATTACAGGCGAGCCACCGCGCCCGGCCAGTTCACTGACATTTTAAACAATATAACACATTTCCTTAAAAATCTTCAAATAGGTTGTTTCAAAAAACGTTGGTAGACAACATGGAAAGGCTTTTCTGTACATACACTAAATAAAGCATGCAAAAATTGTGGAGCAAATATTTTAGGTTTTTCAAAAGCCTGAGAAGGCGTTAATGGAGGAGACTGTGAAATGGTGCAGCCGCTATGGAAAACAGGATGAGAATTCCTCAAAAAAGAGAATTACGGCACAATCCAGCAATGCCACTTCTGGGTGTATACCCACAAGACTTTGAAGCAGGAACTTAAGCATGTATTTGTACATCCATGTTCACAGCAGTATCATTCATACTAGCCAAAAGGTGGAGGCAGCCCCAGTGTCCATTGATAGATGAATGGGTAAACAAAACACAAACCATGAAGTATTCACACTTAAAAAGGAAGGAAAGTCAGGCACATGGATGAAACTTGGAGACATTATACTAAATGAAATAGGCCAGTCACGGAAGGACAGATTCTTTTGTATGAGGCACTCAGAGTGGTCTCGTTCATAAAGTGGAATGGTGGCTGCCAGGGGCTGGAGGGAGTCGGGGATGGGAAGTTAATGTTAATAACAGGTATAGAGTCTCAGTTTGGGAAGATAAAAAGTTCTGGAGGGGGATAGTGCCGATGGTTCCACATGTCAATGCATTTAATGCCACCGAACTGTACTCTTAAAAACAGTTCTAAGTTTTTTTTTTTTTTTTTTTTTTAAATGATTCAATGGAAATAGAATGGATTCTTCAAATAAGTTAGCCATGGGTAGGATAAGGGACCTACTTAGTATTTTTTTCCCACTTTCTTAAAAATAGATTGATGTCTTAGGGTGGGAATTAGGCTTCCTGGGCACATCTAATGCAAAGAGCCGCCAACTTTTTCTGTAAAGGATCTGATGGTAAACATTTTCACTTTGAGAGCTATGCTCTTGCAGCTACTCAGCTCTACTATTGCAGTGCAAAAGCAGCTAAAGGCAACGGTAAAGGAATGAAGTAAGGAACCTTAGTTTATTTACAATAAAGCTTTATTTGCAAAAGCAGATGGCAAGCCGGACTTCGTTTGCTGATCTCTGATCTAAAGTCAGAATACACAGAGAAGAAGAGATTTTTGCCACATAATTTAAAATATTTCTCTTTGCAAAAGCAGTCCGTAAAAAAGCTAGGACAACAAACTGAGAAAAATCATCACAACGTGTTTTTTTGATAAGCGCTAATATTCTTAATTCAAAAAGACGTTTTATCACTAACGACAAATACTTAGAAAATTGTGTTTTGTTGCGTAACATAAGAAGCTTTGGTTTTACTTTTCCTTTCATCTTTCTAACTTACAGTACCAGCCTAATTTTGTTATTTTTATTATTATGTATTTATATTGAGACAGGGTCTTTCTCTGTCTCCCAGGCTGGAGTGCAGTGACGTGATCATAGCTCACAACAGCCTCTACCTCCCGGGTTCAAGAAATCTTCCCACCTTAGCTTCCCGAGTAGCTGGGACTGTAGGCACATGCCACCATGGCCAGCTAATTTTTTATTTTTTGTAGAGACAGAGTCTCGTTATGTTGCCAAGGCTGGTCTTGAACTCCTGGCTTCAAGCAGTCCTCCTGCCTCGGCCTCCCGAAGTGTTGGGATTACAGGCATAAGCCACTGCTCCCAGCCTTATTTTATATATTTACTACAAGTATGTGAAGGTCATGATCAGAACTGCAGTATATTTTGGGGGGATAATCTGTCACCCTCAGATCCAGGAGTCCATGGATATCTTGTTTTTAAAACAAAGATTTAAAAATTATGGCAATGGCAGAGATGGAGCCCCAAGAGAATACTTAGTTTTAACCCAGGGTGGTGACAGGTTGGAAACAATGGCTAAATTTGGGGGTTGCAGTGGGGCGGGGCAGGGTGCAGGTCAGAGGGGGCCAGAAGAGCCCCAGTCATCCTAGATGTAGCCACAGGCACCAGTGCCAAGGCTCTTGGTCTGGAATTCTGAAAACATTTACCTCTGACCCTGGCAGCCCACTGGCTGGGCCGGGGCATCTAGGCCTGCATTGCTAGTATGCCGCCCAGTTGGCAGGGAACCCTATCCCTAATCTGCCACCACCTCTCCGGTCCCTTCAGTATGAACCCAGCATCACGGTGCACTTGTGGCAGATGGCAGTGCATACCCGGGAGCCACTCTTTTCCGGCCAGATGCCCTTCTCCCAGCTGCCCCCCGTGTGGCAGCTCTACCCCGGGAGGAAGTACCGAGCAGCCGATTCCAGTTTCTGGGAAATAGTGGACCATGGCCAGGCAAGTGTGTGGTGGTTCCAGGTGAAAGCGACGGGTGGCCCCCTGGTGACTGACATGGCCCTCTCTCTTCTGTACCCCTGGCCCCCTCGGGGTTCTTGTCTCTCCTCTTCCTGTTGCTCAAGTCTTCCTTCAAGGAGGCCTGAATGTGTATGGGTGGATCAGTACATGAGTTCCCATGTGGGATGTAGGCAGAATGGGTGAGGGAGGGAGGGTTGCCTTCCCTGGGCTAGGGAAATCCACAAGCCGGAGTTCCCACCTGCCTCGCCCCTGCCTGCTGCTGCCAGCCTGCATGGGCGGCCCTTAAGGCCAACTGGAGGAGCATCTCCCAGAGGTTCTGATGGCTGCTCCCTCTCCTGCAGATCGACTCCATGGAGCAGCTGGTCCTCACATATCAGCCGGAGAGGAAAGACTGACAGTGGGAGTGGCTGGTATGTTGGGGGCCCGTGCCTCTCGGTGCAGGGATCAGACGAAAGCGAGAATACTTCTCCTCTTTTCAGAAAGACGGCATGGCCTCCTTCTCCTCCCTGCTGTTTCCTGAGATTTTTCTTACATAGCCACCTGTCACCTCTGCTCCCCAGCCCCTTGGATGTGATGGTCTACCGTGGGTGGGCCCCTATAATAAGTTCCTAAAGCATGGGATCTCATCGAATAAGATTAATCATTTAATCCTTGTGAGAATTCTGTGAGGTGTACATGTTAATGACCCATTTCACAATGAAAAGACTAAGACTCTGGGGATGGGAATGATTTCCTTGAGACCGTACAGCCAGGAAATAGCAGTGATCAAGCTCACATCTAATGATCTCAGGTCCCTAGACTTAACCATGGCACCGAGGTGCCATGCGACCGTGGCCTTCGAGGACCCAGCACTGACCCACAGAGGGCTCCTCCCAGATGGGCTGCAGCTTGGAGCAGGCCAGGCAGGGCCTGGTCCATTGGAGGGGCTGGCACTGGGTTTGCCTTTGACCCCAGCAGCTTGGATGGGGTGCCAGGCTCCTTCATAGTTCACTGACTATCTCCTTTGGTCTTCTCCCAGGCCCTGCTGGCCCTGCCCCTCTGGCCTGGTGTCTCCTCGTGCCCCCTCAGTGAGGATCTTCATGTACCGTCTTCTGTTTGCACACCCAGCATAGCCTCCTTGCAGGCAGGAGGCAGTGGGGCCCCTGAACACTCAGCTTCTCTCATTTTTCTCAGTTATGAGTCCTGTCCTGTCCTGCTTGGATCTGCACTTAGGGCAACTGGCCTGGATGGACTTCACTAGGGTCCCTGTCTGTGCGCTGAGCCAGTTTCCCCTGCTGGCTGCAAGCTGTGGGTTCTCTTTCTCCCCTGTGCCCCTCATGCTGATCTTCTAGATGCCACTCCCAAATTGCCTTCATACCCACCGGGATGTGTGCCCAGCCAGGCCTCCGGCACCCCCAGTGCAGCTCGTGATTGGAAACTCACCATCAGCAGGCAGTGGCTCGGTTTAAGAGACGGCCGCAGAGGGAGCCCAGTCTGGATATGGACTCGGATGCCCTGTGGGTATCAGTTCTGCTGACACTTTGGCCCAAAATAGATCCAGTGCTGAGCCAGTAGTGTACACCAGAGCCTCAGTGAGCCCATCTGCACAGTGGGGAGCGTGGAAGGATGGGTTTGGCCTGTGCTTCTGCTTGTTCAGTTCTTCAGCTCACGAAGGGATGCTAGTCCATGAAGGTGGCCTCGCAGTACTGGTTAATTAAACTTTATTGCACACTGTCCACTTTTGTGCTGAATTGGAGCTTCTCTTTGGCCTCTTTCTAGCATAGAAATGCAGCTTCTGGTATCGAAATGTTAAGGTAATATTTTAATGTTCCTTTTCATATTTTTCCACACTGGGAAGGAAATTGTAATCAGTCCATTCAGCAGCAGGATGCTGGCGGGAGGTAAGGAAGGGGAGGAGACTCGTGCGGGCTCTGGGTGAAGCCCTGCTGTGAAAGGGCAGGAAAGCCATGGTGGTGACAGGAGAACCAGGAGCAAGGGAGAGCTTCCAAAATGAGACAGTGCAACAGCGTGTCAGTGCAGGAGATGTAGAATGCAGGTGCAAGGGACGAAGGGTCCACGTGTGGGAGAGATGACATGACAGAGGAGCAGAGTCCTTGAGCAGGGAGGGATGGGGCAGGGGGCCAAGGCACTGAGCGGGGCCGCTACTGTGACCAGGAAGAAGCGGACGATACAGTGCAGGTCAGGGTGACCATGCAGTGGTGGCAAGGAGAGGGGATTCCCTCCCTCATGTCATTCACAAGAAAAAATCACCCATGGGCTAGAATCCCAACCTTACAAAATGAATCTGTAAAAGCATTCATAGAAAGTTTGGGGAAATATGTTCATGAATGCGGGGTACAAAAAAACCCAAGTAAGACACAGGTGTAAGCAAAAGACGGTGTAAAACAAACTTTTTCAAGTGAAGCATTTCTGTATGACAAAATATTAGGAAGCGTCAATCACAATTTAGCATGGTACACAAGGCACACCAGTGTTTGCCTGGAGCGGACTTGCTCAAGGCCAGTGGTGTTGCGGCGAGGGGCTGTCTTGGGCGTTGTAGAATGTTTAGCAGCATCCTTGGCTGCCACCCACTGGATGCCAGAAGCATCCCCTGACCCCAACTTGTGAGAACCAAAAATGTCAAATGGCTCCTGAGGGGGCAAAATTGCCCTGGCTGAGAATCACTACCCTAGATAAACACTTGCACAAACACTTGCATGTGTGGTGTACACAAGAGGCATGAAGAGGGAGCCTTGGGGTAAGAGTTGAGATTCCACAGTGTTGGCATGGTTAAAGGGAGGCCCCGTGAACAGGGGCTGGGGTGAGCACTGCAGGCTGGCATTGTACCTTCTGCTGAGAAGCTTATGTTGATCTGGCAGCCTGGTCTTTCAGGAACCCTCTTCCCCTAGCCTGCCTTCCCTCCCACTGGCCTGAGTCGGGGGTGTGCAGGAGAGGGTGTGTCACGTAGCATGCATCACAGTCAACAGAAAAGGATTTCATGATGACACCAGTCAAGAGTTAGGAAAGTTTTTTTTTTTTTTTTTTTGAGACAGAGTCTCTCTCTGTCGCCCAGGCTGGAGTGCAGTGGTGCGATATGGGCTCGCAGCAAGCTCCGCCTCCTGGGTTCATGCCATTCTCCTGCCTCAGCCTTCTGAGTAGCTGGGACTACAGGTGGCTGCCACCAGGCTTGGCTAATTTTTTTGTATTTTTAGTAGAGACAGGGTTTCACCGTGTTAGCTAGGATGGGCTTGATCTCCTGATCTCGTGATCCACCCGCCTCGGCCTCCCAAAGTGCTGGGATTACAGGCGTGAGCCACTGCGCCCGGCCTAGGGAAGGTTTTTATTGTTAAATGGGAAATGGACAGAGCCAGAGAGGGAAGGAGGCATTGTTTTCCTACCCACAGAACCGTGCCCCCCAGAAAGGAGTGGGCTCTGCTGGACACACAGTGGGTGGTGAGTGTCTGCATCCAGGAAAGAGAATTCAGTCCCTTAGCTGCCTTCTTACAGGGCAGGCTGGGCACAAGTGCGATGATGAAGGCTGCACAGACTTCCTGGGTACCAGGTGGGTGGGGCCTGGGAATGCCAGCCGTCCAGTGCCTGGACATTTGGGGTCTATGTGTAATTGTAATAGGTTTGTTGTCAAATGTGCACATGTTCCAACACTGGGTTGCAGCAGAGAAAGCAGTTTAATGGTAGGGTCACCGAAGGAGGGGATAGGAGGAAACCTCAAATCCATCTCCCAGAGAAGTTTGGATTAGGAATGGGCCGAAGTGTGGAGATTGTTGATTGGTTGAAAAGTGCAGGATGACATCCTGGGACAGGGAGATGAAGCCGCTGTATTCTGTCTTCAGACTGGTTGCTGGAATTCAGACTCTGAAAAACATCTTAAGTGATTTATTCTAATGTCAGAGATCCTGTCTATAGGAACAAAAGGGATACAAATAAATTATTAAACAGTCTTATAATCCTAAAGTCAGAAATCCTATCTGTAGAAACATCGGGTATGCAAATGGTCACCATCTAGAGTGCTATGTGACTTTCAGCAACAAGACAGTGGGTCTAAGTGCAGCCTGATCAATGCTTAATTATGACTATTTCTGTCCAGAACCCAGCATGCAAACTGCAAGGGGGGAAGTTTCAGGCTCCCAGGATGAGGGAAGGAAGCCATCAGTTCCATGGGAAGCAGAGCTTGGGTGCTGCTTCTTCCTTGGGAAATAGGCCCTCATCCCTGCCACTTAGGACACCTCTGCTCCTTGACCTTAGAGCACCATTAGTCCTGTAGCATTGGGAGGGGCCCCCAGCCCCAGGCTGGTCCCCAGGGAAGCACACTTTGGGATCTGCTGCCCCTCCTGGGTGCCGTCCTGCACTTGCTGGTGGTCTGCGTGCTCTCCTGGCCTCACTGCTGAGGTCTGCAGCAGAACAACGCATATTCTGTGCCTGGTGACTCCCAGGGTCTGGGTGACTTGGCTTCACCTGGGATCCTACTGCTTGTTCTGCCCCAGCCGTTTGCTGTGACCCCTTTCCAGCTGCCATCTGGCTGGTCCATGCCCAAGCCTCTGCTGAGGTCAGCCCTGGCACTTGGCATCAGTGCTAGATGGGGCATGGCGGTGCCCCACAGAAGATGCACTCCAGAGAACCTCTCACCCCACCTCACCATAGTGATATGGGAGTTAAAAAGGAATTATTTAGGCAGATAGCAAGGGCATGGGAGTCCTCAGTAAGGCTTTTCTTTTCTTTTTTTTTTTTTTTTGAGACAGGATTTCGCTCTTGTTGCCCAGGCTGGAGTGCAGTGGCGCAATCTCGGCCCACCACAACCTCCGCCTCCTGGGTTCCAGTGATTCTACCTAAGCTTCCTGAGTAGTTGGGATTTCAGGCATGTGCCACCACGCCCAGCTAATTTTTTGTAATTTTAGTAGAGACGGGGTTTCTCCATGTTGGCCAGGCTGGTCTTGAACTCCCGGCCTCAGGTGATCTCCTGCCAAAGTACTGGGAGTACAGGCGTGAGCCACTGTGCCCAGCCCAGCCTTTTCTTTTTAATGAAAGTAGCCCCAAATCATTTTCTAACTAACGCAGCCTGCAAGCTGGGAGCCTGCACGGGTGAATGCTGGTGGGAACTAAGGACTAGACGTGTGCAAGGCGGCAGACTTCTCTGTCAGCCACATGTATGGTAAGGAGCAGACAGGATGGGGCCAATCAACTGGGAAGCCCATTTGCGTAAGATCCATGCGGGGTGACCAGCCTTCCCCGCCAAAACTAATGTGTGAGTCCTATATGAATCGGATACCGCCTCCTCAACTGGGCCATGAAACTCGGAGCATTCACCACCAACTGTCCTTTTTCCACTTGGAGACCCCTTCCTCTATAGAGGAAGCTGTTTCTCTTTCTCTCCTCTTCTACCTATTAGACCTCTGCTCTTAAACTCCTCATGTGTCTGTGTCGTATAAGGAACCCCAGGGTATATACCCCAGACAAAGTAGCCCCTTCAATAGTGGACTCTTTTGCATTGCCTGGGCCCAGAGGCTCTGGCCCAGGCTCCTTTTGCTGTTAAGTTTCTGTAACATTGTGATACATTAAGAAATACAGATTTGGTCTCCATCCCCAGATCCTAGCATAGAGCTCCTGAAACCTCTGGAATTTTCTAAGTGATAGGAGTGAGAGGAGCATCTTTTGTTCTTCATAATAAACCCCTTTCAACCTACCATGTGATTACAGGATTGGAACTTTTAGTCCCACCCTTCTGACCTCCAGGAAATACAAAAATAACAACAGTGTTTCCAAACATTGGGAAGGGGAGAAGAGAGAAGGTAAAGGTAAAGTACGTAGGTTTTCCCATGGAAAGAAGTCCAGAAAATACAGTTGAAAGATCAAGTCACAGAGCTAGGAACATATTATTTAAAGGAAAAACTAGAAGAAATAAGACTCATAAAAAAACTAACCAAGACTGGCAGCAGGAGATATGGACAAGAAGAGAGAGGAAGCACAAGGATGCTGTTTCCTCATCCTTCACAGGGGACAGTTGGGAGAGGTCGTAGAACAATAAACAGAACAGCCATATAAAAGCTCTAAAGGGCCGGGCATGGTGACTCACGCCTGTAATCCCAGCACTTCGGGAGGCCGAGGTCGGTGGATCATTTGAGGTCAGGAGTACAAGACCAGCCTGGCCCACACGGTGAAACCCCATCTCTACTAAAAATACAAAAATTAGCCGGGCGGTTGTAGCGCACGCCTGTAATCTCAGTTACTCAGGAGGCTGAGGCAGTGGAATTGCTTGAGCCTGGGAGGTGGAAATTGCAGTGAGGGGAGATCACGCCCCTGCACTACAGTCTGGGTGACAGAGTGAGACCCTGTCTCAAAAAAAATAATAAAAGCTCTAAAAGTGCAATGCAGACCGTCTGAATTATATAAGAAAAACAACCTTTCCAGAATATATCTGAACCAATAAGAGAATTCAACAAGTGTTTATACATTTAACACGTAACACCCAACAGTTTTCACACATGAATGAAGCAGGTCCCACTTTTGCATAACGATTATTTTATCTAATGGCCCTTGATAAACAACAGATGCACTCTGCAAGGGCACTTGCCTTCTTTCACTTCCTGAAAGCAAGAGAGAGGCCGGGCGCGGTGGCTCAAGCCTGTAATCCCAGCACTTTGGGAGGCCGAGACGGGCGGATCACGAGGTCAGGAGATCGAGACCATCCTTGCTAACATGGTGAAACCCCGTCTCTACTAAAAA